TTGTCTTCTACACAATATATTTAAAATATTTAATATTTTTTTTATTATTAATAATTATAATGGATGTAAAAATTAATCTACAAAAAAGTACAAAAGTCAAAAACACATTTTTATGTAAATATTGTATAAAATTTGTAATTTATGTTTAGTTTTTTAAAGAGGAAATAAACAAAAAATATAAAAATTTTTTTAACAATGTTAAATAAAACTTAACATATTCAGAATCCGTACACTTTATGGTGTACGCGATTTTATAATGTTAAGGGCGCTATAAAAACATTGTCGATCTAGGATTATTTTTTAAAATCGATATATATATATATAGTTATAACTAATAGTCTTTATCTCGAGCATTATTCCAAGGAAAGTAATTCATTTCTGGTGAACTGATTTTTCTAGAAACGGAAACAATTATTAATAGAACCTCTTGCATGTCCTTTTTCTTTTTCTTCCATGATCGACCTTATATCTTCGAAATTGTTGATAAATTTTCTTCATTCACAGGCATAATTCATGTTTATTTAGTTTATTTGAAATCATTCAAAAATAAATAATTTTCTTGTATGAAAAAGATCAGTCGTGAGGAATCTCAAATAAAACGTTCACAACGCGGTTCTGTGAGAAACTAAAATTACCGTCTTAAAATTTCTCAAGATGAGAGTAGTCACGTGATGCGATTTAGAGAGCATAAAGGGGAGAGTTACCTATATCGTACTGCACTTCTAAATCGTATCTAATCGGTGTCTTTGTAACAAATTAACTTAAACGAGATAAATAATAACTTTGAATATAGATTACGTTAAAAATGAACGGAAACAATTTTATAAACAAGTTCAAAGAAAATTAAATAAAATTTCGTCTCGTTCATGAAGAGTTTCGGAAAATAATTAAATGAAATAAATGTAAATATGTTATTATACATTAACTTTCTACATTAAATATTAAATTTGCATTTATTTATTCCAAAAGTATATATGTTAGTAAGTAATTGTTTTTCTTAATCATATTTGTTATTATCTGCATATTTTAAGATAAATATATATTTATATACATTTAAAAATTAGTATGTTTATCCAATGTGTTTTGTTGTTAGATACTTGAAATTTAATATGGAATCAGGCTGATAAATATCATTTCCATATTCTTTATCAACTCTAAAATGTTTTGCATTATTTGTTCTATAAATTACGAATATCATATTTATTATTATTTATTTACTACAACAAGGCACAAATTGTTGTCATCGTTGGTTTTTGTTACTTTGAGTTATTAGTATGAAAAGAATAGTTTTTGAGAATTCACAATACTAAATTCAGTATTCCAATATGATACTTTTGCAAAAATATATATGATTTAAAGTGTTATTCTTGTGGTCAATTAGTAACATATTGATACACTTGATCGTCAATTAGGTGGTAAATTAGAACATTATTTATACATTATCTGTATTTCAAAAAGAGGTTTAACGTGATATTATAATTCAGATTTATGTGTAACTTGTTGTAATGTTGTTTGTGCAAATACTTTATACCTCCATTATTTACTCTAGATCAGTGAATAAGAAGAAGAAGAAACTTTATGCAAACAGAATACTTATAAAACTGACTAAATGAGTAGGTAATCTTTTAAATAGTAATTTAGAAAGTAGAATAAATAAGTCAAACACATTACAAGGTGCATTGAACACTTGTGAACATGTAAATTGTAAATCAGTAATAAATTGTATTACTGAAACTAAATCTGTCTTCTTCATTCACTCAACCTCTGGCATATTTATTGATTTAGCATGTCTTCTTTTGACTCACTAATAATGTAAACTTAAAATAAGCATTGCACAAATTTAGAAATAATATATACTAAAGTATATACATAAATATTTAAAAGAAATTACCGGTTGCATCCACTTTAATAAAATTTCAACAGTCGCTGCATCAGGTGTAGAAGAAAGGCTTGGAGTACTCTTAATTGCAGCTACAAGGTTTCTTGTAGCTTCCTTCACAGAATCTTTCCACTCTGCAGTCCCCTCGTTATTACTTTCTATACAAGCACCTGTTTATAGAAATGTTATCAATAATTTAATGTGTAAGTGCCTGTATATAATTTTAGTATAATGCTTGAAAATATCAGAATATTTTTAATGCAATGTGAATATTTCTTAATATTCTATTATTTTCTATAAAACAATTTATGGAAATAAATTTTTTAAGGTCATTCTTTTCTATAAGGTTCTTTAAATAATGCTGTATCAGCATATATGAACTCAGGAAGATAAAATTGTAAGTATTATGTCTTGTTATATTTTTACTCTAGAATAAACCTGCACATACAAAACTATATAATTACTAGTAAATAAACTGTAGATCTTTCTGAATTCATAATATTTGAAAATTTGTAAAAATTTTTTCCTTATTTTGGTCTTTATAAAACAACCTACAAAAATAAACATTTGTACAAAAACTATAGTCTACTAATAAAGTATGAAAGGATGAAAATATTTTATAATATTTAAAACAGATCAGACATGTCGGTATATAACATCTTTTATGCTCTATGAAGCTATTAAACTGGAAATTTATGATAACATTTATTGTTTAATGTATATAATATTTCTGTTAATGGCAAAGTAAAATAAAAAGAAGAACTTACCAGAAATAATATCGTCCATTTGTAATAAAGCAGCTTCTAACATTTTACTGGCCTCGCTTGATGTCTTTGGAATAAAATTTGATTCCCCTGCACGTATTGTAATATCACCCCTTTCTTCACTTTTACCCATTGCTATAATCTGAATATACAAGTTCTTAATGTTTAACAATGCACGTAATATGTGAATTTGAATAGATTATAAAATCATTCAAGACTTTAGATGATTAAATTTCTTAATGAATTTATAAAAATGAGACATATATATTTATACATGTATATATATATATATACATATATAACCTAAAAGTATTTACTTTTAAAACTATTTTTGTACGCTAGAATCTAATTTTAGAGTAAAAACAATTTTCATAAAAAGTCACAAGTGTTTAATATTTTCAACTGTACGATAAAACTACGAAAACAAGAAAACAAAACATTCGAAGACAGAATACAATGTCAAAGTATTTTAAGAAGAAAGTATATAATCAATCCATCAAATTTATATGTAATAAATAATAAAATAAAAAAGAATTAACTTGATTCTGAATTAACAATTAAATATATTTGATTAAATGAACCTTATTCTATTCTGAAAGTGTACATATATAATGTGTTTAACAATTAATAGAAATGTAAGTGAAAATTTGCATAGAATAATTTTTTATACGTTTACCTCGTAACATCATAATTCAGACGGAAATTTATAGATCACTCCTTTTGAATTTCTTTAAATTTAAAGTTAAATACGTATTCAAACCATAGAACGGCAGTCCAAGAATAAGCAACAGGTGTTAAGAACAACGCCCAATAGATTACCGCCATGATAGTTTTTATTCTTATTTAATATAATAAGTCTGCGTGCATTTCTTTGTCTTTATCCATACATAAACAATAGGATTTTTTAAAGAAAGATAAACAAATTCATTGAAATCTGTTATATACCATATTTTTCTCCGTAAAACCAGTGTTTCTGTATCTTTATTCAACAAAATATACATTTAGTGTATGAATGTATTGTCTGTTTAACATAACATTGGAGCAAAACACAACAAAACCTCGTGACCCTTTCAAAAAGATGACACCACTATAGATATGTCAAAAACTGAGTCTTTAAAAATGTTTTGTTTTGTTTTTAAAAATGTAAAACTTTAATGCGATATTTTCCTTCTATAAATCAGAAAAAATCTAGGATGTTTTCGCTCTTCTTAAATACTTTTGCCTTTAAGGAAATGTTGCAAAAAATAACCTTCTTATAGTTCCTATCTATATTATGTTTTCTGGCATGATTGAGAATGCATAAAATCATAAAATCATATATTGTCATACCAGTTTAAAAGTCTATTAAATAATTTAAACGTTGTCTATGAAAAGTTTATCTTAAAAATATTGTTTCCCATAATATTCCTTAATATGCATAAATTGTGGAAGTTATATTTTAAAATTGCATAAATGGAATAATATAAAAGGTACAAGAATCACAGAAATATCTTAACAAATTTTTTCGACGGTAATTAAATCTATGACGAATTTAAATCTACACCGTAGACATTAAATACAAAGATGCGAATGTCACTATTACAAATGGTATCAGTAATGCAGAAGCTGTCCAAAGAATACTAGGCTCTGGATTTACATTGATTTGATACGTTATTCAGTGTTGCTGATATCAAAAATTCTTTATTCATTAAATTGAACATCTCAACGCGACGTTTCAGCAGTAAAATAATGCAGTAACTTAGAACAACGATTGACGGAAATTTAAATACATTCGAACAGAAAGGAGAACAATTTCAATATCGTTCACATGTAATTATGGAAACAATGTAGTAAAATCAAATAAACGATTACCAGGACATAAAAAATAAACAGATTTCAATGATCTAGTTTTTATAAAAAAATGAACAATTTAATACATACTAAAATTCTTCGGCATACGTGATGTCTCTATGTATAATTTAAAATAGAAATAACTCTCTTTTAAGTTAGCTTTAAGCTCAAGAAATTACTTTTTTCATTTCAATATAGTATTTAATTTTTCCCATACAACAAATAATTATTGCCGTTCTGTGCATGCTATGTAATGCATATTGTGACAAGGATTATATATTTCCGAAAATCTGTGTTTTTCACTGGTAGCGACATCCGTGGCAAAATGCTCAAACTGGTAGTGAAATGTTACCGATGTGTGAGTTTATTTAGCCAATGTGTCGGTAACGTCAATTTCTATTTGTTATTAGAAATTGTTCAACTATACATTTTAAAAGTTCTTCTGTTAATATCCATGATATTTTTGAAAATAGACGGTTAGAAACAAACTGTTATAGAATTTTGTCCATAAAAATATTTCAACATTATAATCTATTGAACAATGTAAATAAATATATTAAATAAAAAAACACTCTACAGCGGAGTGACTGTTCTTTTGCTAATATCCGTGATATTCTTTTTGTAAATAGTCAGTTAGAAGCCGTCATAGAAGTCGGTCGATAAAAATATTTCAAGATTATAATTTAGTGAACATTGTAAATAAATGTATTGAATAAAAACTCCATAGTTGAGTGACTGTGGTGCCATCCGTGGCAAAATGGTCAAACTGTTAGGCAGCAAAGTTTGCATATTTATCAAGGAGGTGGAGCAACCTTATCGTTGCGAAAACGGTTGAACGAGGCATTGTTTCTGATGGCGAGGTCAAGGAGATATCGCGACTGACGTCGGTGACCTTTACCAAGCGTGGGATTGTCTTAACAGCACAAAGGTTAATTTTCCTTGAGGAGAGCGTAACTATAATGCCCGCAGGCATCGACTCAGATATCCTTGAGCTAAGAGATTAATAACAATGTAAACAAACGCTGCTAGTGTTAATTAACACGTTGAATGCCATGGGGGTCACCGGTGACCCCCAAGCAAATCGAATTACTATAATTCATTCAATTGTTCGCAAACATTTCTATATTATAAATAACGATACCCATTGCGGTGACATTCAGTTTGATGAACGTGCAATGATAATAATCCAATTCAGTCAAATGATTTAATATTGCATTTTTTCCATTCCGTGTATTTTGCTCTATGAAATCGTGCGACGTTCAACGTGTTAATTAAACTTATTAGGCACAACCGAATACTGTGTTAAAGAAGTACCTCTGCCTTCAACGAAGAATTATTAACTAATTCAGCAACAGCAAAACTGAAACGCAGCTCAACTGAGATCTCAATAAACGCACGTTTCTGGTTTCTACGCAGAAATTTGTGAAATTCAGTTTAAATGATCAGTAGTTCTAGTGTTAACACGTTTACTGCCACGGTGGTCACCGGTGACCGGAGCTTCAAAATTGCTTAAATACAATTACAATAAGAAAACTGATGTCGAATAAAAAATACTTAGTAACACAAACAGTAGTGTACTGTGATACCAAGTCATTAATAATTATTTCTAATACCATTTGCCTTTATTATGAAAGAATATGTATTGTTACACAAAACGTTCGGAATTCTCGTGGCAGACAACGTGTTAAGAGGTTTCGTTCAGGCCGTGTCAGGCGTATACGACCCACACTTTTACAATTAAATAAAATTAAGTAAACGCAGTATACATGATATTAAGATGCCTATATTTGACTCTACAATAAATTTAAAAAAAATTTGTCGTTTTTCAAAGGGAATTTGAAGCGTCACACGATAATTATATTTATTAATGACTTAATAGTAAATAATAAATATATAATAAATATAAGTAATTTATAATAATAAATATATAATAAATATAAATAATTTATAATAATAAATATAATTAACGAATAGAAAAGTTAGGAGAACCTTGGGACAAACTGTAAACGAATGAAATCCACGATTGAAGGATGCAAAAGATGCACGTTTATTCGGTAAAATAATGTACAAATAAATAGGTGTTCGTGGAGGATGAATACAGTACGCTTCATCAATCGTTTTCATTGTTTTTACATTGGTGCGCGTAACACATAATGAGTCTCACAAGGGTCAAAAGCTGTCATTTCTATTTCCCTCACATTCTTTTGCTCTCTCTTTCTCGCTTTCACCCTTTCATTATCTTTCCCAATCTCGTCTCTCATTAATTTGCATTGAAATTTGAAACAGGAGCAGGAAAGAGGGGACAGTTAACAAATATCGTTCATCGGACACAAAAATCATGAAATTCTTCGTCAACCTATCGTATCATGGAGAACTCTCGAAAGCATACGAAATTATAGAGTATCGGATAACTTAAATAATCCTTACGCAAACGAAAATACATATCAAACAGTACGTCCAGGCAACTGCAGATCAAAGTTGGATAAGCGACCGTGTAAATTCATTATAAAAGGTGATCAGACGTTGAAGCAACAAACGATTCAATTTAAATCTGTAATCATAAAACGAAAGATTCGATCGTCCGGCGATTACCATTGTCGAACGTTGTAATCTACTCTCGTTTTACCCAACTTTGCCTGAGACCGGAACGTCGTCTTATTAAATACGATGCATCGTGGGCGAGAGGATTGGTAATATTTCTTGCGGAATTGGAGTGTTAGCCATATATAGTGATTACAATTAATATTATACTTTTAGTAGGTATTTTCAACACAGATGCCAAGTATACAGCAACACTATTCCCTTGTTTAAATTCGATCGCGTGGCAATGACGGTAATAATGGAACAGCGAAATAATGTAAATAACAACAACGCTGATAATGCTACTTAACCGGTAATCAGTTGTAAGGTTAACGATCAAAATAGGTCACTCGTTAGAAACGTAAAGAGGTGAGGAGAAACTTTTTTAAGACGTTTCCTATCGTTATCTTTATCTCGTTGATTAAACTGTAACGCTAATTGCACACCTCGATTGATTCGACAAGTTTTCGTTCATTAACCCTCGCAGATTTTTGATGATTTCTTTTAGACGACGATGCCTGGGAACATTCAAATTCTTAAAGTTGCTCGATATAAGGACCGTTTCTTAAAAAGCTCATTACTTTTCGCTAAGAATATATCTGTTCAAATCTGATGTACATTTTAACATTAGAACTACCCGGCGGTTAAATTGATAATTTTTTTATATAAAGTATAAGAATGGATTTGTTAAGATTTCAATGGGATTATATTTTAGTTTCGGTGTTACCTAATCAGCTAACTTTAACCCTTTGCACTCGAGCGGTGACTCTCAGTCACTTGATTTGATGCAGTAAAACTATAAAATTTGATATTTAATTACACTGCGTACAATGCATCGGTGTGTGAAATGTTGGGCGAAAATAGTTTTGTTTCTTTACTTTTTCAGTTAATTTAAACAAATATTGTCTTTGTTTAGTTAGAAAAATGTTAAGTATTTCTAACGAAATACTTCCGAGCGCCGAGGGTTAATAATTGATAGGAAAAGCCTAATAATTTATCAAGAAAATGTTCTTTCAATAATCATGAAAGCAGAAATCAGATCTGGTAGTTCTAGTGTTGAAAGTAAGGTATGCATTCTTTCGTGATCGACTAGAAAGTACAGTAACAAAAACTTATTCGTTGTGTATACCAGTAAAAAATCTGCATAAAATATTTACATTCATTAAAGCATTTCTATATCACAAGTAGTGTTAAAGATATATTTAAAGGATATTGAATAAGAGCTATAAGATGAAGAATTAAACGAAATCATTCGAGAATCTGGATGAAAATAAACCTAGGCATCGCCGTGCAAGGGTCGATCATCAACGACTTCCATTTTGTATGTCAATCGGTCTGGCAAGTGGGAATTCTTGAAAGAATTCAAACAATACAATGTAAAACGTGTGGATTTAGAGAACTTTTCTCAATCACGTGTTTGGTTGACATTTTCTTTTGTATTCGATAGAATAATCATTGGTTGGTTGCGCTGTCTACTATTTAATTGTCCCTTGTAGCAATATGGCGGCGTGTGGCTCACGTGACTTCTTTCAATTCCCATCAGTTGAGGGAGGAAAGTCATTAATTATAACGTACACGATATTTCGTATTATTTACGATAAGACACGGGCATTATTCGAATAAAATATTCGAAAAATTATACAAACAATTATGTTTAAAATT